AAAAAAAAAAGAAAAAGAAATGCCAGATATAGATGATGGGGGGATGGAGGCAGCAAACCACTTTGCCATGTATATACCTATGCAACAACCCTGCATGATTGGCACATATACCCTAGAACCTAAAGTACAATTAATAATATATGTGTGTGTGTGTGTGTGTGTGTGTGTGTGTGTGTGTGTATATATGTATGAATACAATACATTTTCATTTTTTTCCCTATAGTACTTCTTAGACGTTCCATTTAATAGGGTGGCAGACAGAATAGCATTATTCAGTAATAGATTGTGTATTACTATTATCAGTTAGTATATACTAGATATATGCCTATGTTTCTTAACATTTGACTCACTATATAGCAGTTTTCAATATAATTGTTGAAAAAAAAGGGAATATCTTTTAGTAATATTTTCTATAATTCCCAAACCAACTAATTCAACAGTTTTAATAATGGCTAAACTAGGTTTGGAATTTGCACTGAGAATTAATTTCTTTTTTCGTTTATTTTAAAACTGATGCCAGGGTTCTTCTTTGGCATTTAAGCTTTCTTACACAAAACAGCCTATAATTCCTGTTTGAATATTCAAGAAGCAAAATATGTCCTTGCTACTCTCTTTTTTCTTGGTGATTTGTTCCCCCATAAGCTATCTGAGTAGGAAAATATATTTGTAAATAGTTTTATTTTTGTGTGTCTTAAAGAGAATACTTTATAGATATAATAAAGTCATATAAATCCCCAGTATCTATAGTGATTCTGTTTTGGAAGTTCGCCCTTGTTTTCTTCTGCCACTCATCTTTGGAAAGGCTGTGAAAACACATTTGACATTTTTGTAACTTTCATTCTGTGGATGTGTATTTAAAATGTTCTTAACGTTTTCTGGTTAAAGTACTTTGAAATAAACATTAATAATAGTTCATTTCAACTGTGAAATTAGACTACTGTCTAAGACCAAGACATGAAAATGTCTAGACCAGAGAGACATCTCATGTCTTTAAGTTCTGATTGTTTTTATTAATTCTCTTATGTTCTACTTTTATGAGTCCTGGTGGGACCCTTCCTTAAAAGGTAAAAGTCAAGATTACCATTAAAACAAGGAAGTAGGGTAGAGTGTCTATCAAGAAATGAAAACCAATCAAATGGAATTTTTTATGGCTTCCCAGCATTTCATGTAAGCAGAAGACCCCAGAGATACCTAGGAATACTGCTTTTTTAGGAAGTTCATAGTACAAGTATGTTTTCCTTGTCTATCTCTCTTATGTCTTCTCCTCTGTAACATATTTTCACATAGAACATTTAGTTTGGCACTTAAAGGGACAAGTTATTTTGGTAGGTTTTTTTTAGATTTGGTCACCTAATTAATTCATTTATAAAAATAATTTATATACTGATTTTAGGCCGGGCGTGGTGGCTCATGCCTGTAATGCCAGCACTTTGGGAGGCCACGGCAGGTGGGTCCATTGAGGTCAGGAGTTCGAGACCAGCCTGACCAACATGGTGAAACCCCGTCTCTACTGAAAATACAAAAATTAGCTGGGTGTGGTGGTGCGTGCCTGTAATCCCAGTTACTCGGGAGGCTGAGGCAGGAGAATTGCCGGAACCCAGAAGGCGGAGGTTGCAGTGAGCTGAGATTGCACCACCAAATTCCAGCCTGGTCAGCAGGAGACTTCCTCTCAAAAATAAAAAATAGGCCAGGTGCAGTGGCTCATGCCTGTAATGCCAGCACTTTGGGAGGCCAAGGCAGGTGGATTGCCTGAGCTCAGAAGTTTGAGACCAGCCTGGGCAACACAGTGAAACCTTGTCTCTACTGAAATACAAAAGTTAGCCAGGCGTGGCTGTGTGTGCCTGTAATCCCAGCTACTGGGGGGGCTGAGACAGGAGAATTGCTTGCAGCCTGGAGGCGGCAGTTGCGGTGAGCTGAGATCATGCCACTGCACTCCAGCCAGGGGGCAGAGCAAGGCTCCCTCTCAATAAATAAATAAATAAATAAATAAACAAACTTATTTTAAATCCTTCTTTTAGATTAGTCTTTCAAAGTAGTAGTATAAGTGAATTTGTATTTCTCTTGCGTTTTAAATTATTTAACATTTGAACTGTTGATGTCACCACTAGATTTATTTTAATGAGTTAATGATGCCAAGGCTCTTGAGGTTTAGGGTAACTATGGTAATATTTTCACGATATCATAAACAGAAATACTTATTTTTCTTTATACTGCTACTAACCATATGTTAAAGGAGAAAATCAGCTCAAATGGGTGAATGAACCTGGGTGAAATACCACGGGGATAAACCTTGTTAAGAAATTTATGTATGCTTTTATTTCAGATTATATCTGTTTACTGCTGTTAATGCTTTTTATTGTCTTCACAAAGCAGACTCAGACCAAAAAGAGAGCATTTCTTTCCCATTGTTCTAGGATGTATATGAATTTAAGGAAGGGGGTAGGCTGGGAAAATTTCAGAAGTAATCAGGCAAGAACTATTCAGAAAATGCTCAACTAAGCATGCACTTGTTTAAACAACTATCAAGACTTTTTATTGCTTTTTTATTATTGGTTTCGGAGTGGGCAGTGGAATAAGTCAAAATTTTCATGTGTACTCTTCGTCAAGGGACTTGGAAGTACTTATGTATGTGCATTATCTCATAGTACCCCTCTCATTTAAAATGAGGGGACACGTTCTTTTTCCTCATTTTCCTAATAATAGGAGGCTTGAGACCCAGAGAGGCCTAGTGGCTGGACCAGTGAGAGCATGGAACTGGCAAGGTTACTTCTTGACTTAGATTTGGCATTGGTTCTCTAAAGATGAGTAGGATGCGTGGTATTGCTGTGTACATTCTAGGAAACTTTTTCATATTGGTAGGGACAGTACATACTCCCTGGTTTTTTAAGGATTTAATTTGGCATCTCCTCCTTTTGTCATCATTGTAGGAGCTGTTTAGAAGGTCAAAAAGAATTGCTTATTCAATAGTCACTACTACTTTGAATGAAAATTCAGTGCTTTCATGTCACTCTGGCAAAATTAAGGAGAGTTTAAGACTTTCTGGTGAAGCCCCAGTAAAGCCCTTTATGTCTAGATTGTTGAGATTACATTCCTGTGCCTGACCTTTTTTTTTTTTTTTTTTGGCCTGAGCAATACTAAGCATTTGCATATCACTTAAATGCCTTCAGAGTCTAGTTCCACTCCAGCACTAAGCAGCTGAGCCTAGTGGAAAATTGGCTTTAGTTTTCCCTTTCGTATACTTTTTTCATCAGGGAGTATTATGATTCTGGTTTATAAGACATTCTTATAGTTTGGCTATATACTCTTTGCTCTGAAGTAATAGACTATGCATGTTGCAGTATAGAAACATACTTGTTTTTATATCAGTGAATCAAGTTAATTGTTTCCAAATCTCGACATTTTTTTTCAGCCCAGAAGTTGTAGATCCTCTCAAGATGGAAACGTATGTTGTCCCTATCAGCTGTTATATTAGGCATTCCACTTACATATATTCAATATACAATGTTGTTTTGGAGTATTTTGCCAGTAATGTATTTCCATTTTCTCAAATTAAATGGAGAAACAGGGTATCTTGACCTTTTCTGAGCTTCACAGCCAAGTTATTATGAGACCCTGGGATATTCATGCAATTCTGTCTTACAGTCTTGGTGTTTTATAACATGAGAATGATTAACTTTATCCAGATAATCAGAAAGTTATTTACTGTTCCCAGGTCAGTAGAGGGGTGTTTCACTCAAATACTGAGAGTATTGATCTACTTGGTGTAGCCCCAGTGTGTAAGACTAGATCAGTGGCGGTGCTTGGTAGAGACCAGAGGCAAATCTTGGATTCTCATTGAAAAAGCAGGGATTAAATGTTGGGATCAGTAAAGGAAAGGATAACTGTCCCCACTTTTTATATCTGCTGGTTTGGAGAATTGGATATGTTTGAAGCATCTACACACTTACTTAGAGTGGGTAGGCTCTCTGGTTATGTCAACCCTTATGGCTTCTTTTGGTGAAGGAGGCCAGCCTGGGAGCAGTGAGTCCTCTTCATTAGGTAAGTTCATGGACTTCAGTGACCAGTGTAGTTGTTCTGTTCGTTAATCCAAATTAAATTACCTTTCTAAAGAACAAGTGCCTATGAATACAGCTTTGTTTTTTTGTCGTCTTGTTGAGAAGTGTGCTAAACTCATAAAAACTGATCATTTCTAAAAGGCTTTTGATCTTGTGTTTTCTGATGCCAGTTTGTTCTTTAGAAAGATTTCTTTTCACTTCTTACATTTAGGTGTAATTTCACCTTCATACCAAAATTCACAGTTTTCTGAGGCATTGTGCATAGTCACGTTTTACCTAAACCCTCCTGTTGGCACATCAGTCAGCGAGACCTCAGCGTGGATAGGTGGCTCAGTCATCAGAGCTCCCCAGCGCGAACAATGTCGTAATTACATTAACCAAATGTGACTGACATTTTGTGAGTTTTTCTGTCTTCATTAAACTTGTTCACCTTCTCTGAAACCCTTCATGCTGCACACTAGCACGGAGCAGCCGTATCCCTCGACCCAGCATGAGTCAGGGGTGCAGCCGCGATACCAGCCGTGAGAGCAGCCGAGATACAAGCCCTGCTCGGGGCTTTCCTCCACTTGGTGAGTACATGTAGGCGCTGGCTGAGGAGTAGAGTTCCTTTCCCTGCTCCAAATGCTTGTCCGAGACACTGCTAGGTGGAATGAACTGCTTTTCCTCCTCCACTGTCCTTGTGATCCTTCCTTCTTTCTTCCCTCTTCCTTAGTTACCCTCTGTTGTCCCCCTCTGCATGCTTGAATTTTGGCAACTTCGAATTTTTGTATATTAGAGGAAAAAAACACCACTTCACTCTGTGCTGTTGTCATTGATGAACACTTGCTCCCAGCAAGGCCATCTGTGTGGCAATTTCTAACCTAAGGCAAAACTCAGCCGAAGTTAGTTGCTGCTTAAAAGCAAAGTTAATCCAAAGTTTATCCTTAGTCATTGAATTGTTATAATTTATCTTTAATTTTACTACAGATCAGTCTATATGTAATTTAATTCAAAGAAGGAATCAAAGTGCAATTGTGATAATGTTTAGAAAAGTAAATGAGTTTTCTTTTTAATGTTAATAGTCCTGCCTTCTCTAAAATGGACACATAGTAAACCCTTTTTAGTTAGTATAAACTGTTAATGCCCAAAAGACATCTGTCAACACATACTTTTGTGCAAAGTAATATTTTATATTCTTCAATAATTATTTTTTGCTCCTGCATTAAGTGCTGTACAGCTGTCCATTTTTCTTTTGATAAGCATACACATAGAAACCATTTTATTATACTTAGACCTAGACCTGAAATTATGTGGATCTGTGGACTCCAGCAGTCTGCTAATTTTAACTACCTAATTATATAACTGCTCTTTTGAAAACGATACATGTCACTACAAAAGAGGGATGTTAAATCAAAAGCATAAGTTCTTAATATTTGCCTCTACCTGTCTCCTTCTAATGTCATTCACTTCTTCTGATCTTTTTTCCCTAATCAGTATCAGCAATCAAAATCTAGACATATTTCTTTATGACTCATTGTTCTTTATGAGGTTCTGAAAAAGGAACAGGCAACCAGATGCCAAACCAGATAGTACTAGGCCATCCCCGTGACTGAGTAGGCAATGCCTGTTGTGAGTGTTCCACCTTGTTAGCATGAGCCCTTGAGTGGGGCAGCGCACCTGTTGCCTGTCACCTATTCCACAGCAGTCTGAAGCATTTACAGCAGAATTCTCGATAATCAGAGGTGGCAATGATGATTTTTTTTTTTTTTTTTTTTTTTTTTTTTATTTTTTTTTTTTTTTTTTTTCTGAATGAACTGGTGATTTTTCCTTTTAAATTAAGGCTGTATTTCTTTGCACCCTTGCTCACTATTTGACCTTCTGAACAACCTATTATATGAGTAAACAGTTCAATTTTTTATTGCTTATTTTGTCTCTTAGAAGCAATTCAGTGTTTTCCTTTCAAATATGTACTGTTATTTTTGATACTGTATGTGGAAGCATCCTTTGGAATCTGGCATGTGGACGAGGCAAGGTGTGCTGAATTCTTGAGATCCTAATTGAACTCTGAGCAGTTGAGTGAATCTTGTCTGTTTTGTACGTTGTTTGATTAAACGGATCTGCTTAGCTGTCTTGCTGACAACCCAGAATGTTGAAATCTGTAATTGCCACTACCAAGGCAGAAGGTATGGGTCCTCACAAACTCTAGCATCAGCTCATGTCTTCTGTTGTGGTCATGGCAATAGTTAAGGTCTTTGAGCTAAATTTTTGTATCATGCCTTTCCTTTACCTTGGGTTAAACCTGACCCTAAAACTTAGGTCCAGCAAGAACAACAACTTTGCTCATGTGTACCCACAGCATGTGGAGCAGTCAGCAGGCATAATGCCTGTGGTCCCTGTTTATCTTCTGGGACAGGTATTATCATCAGAGACTTAGGGAGAATGAACTACTTTCTCAAGATCACACAACTAAATGGTGGAGCCAGGGTTTGGAGTCAGGTTTGACTTCAAACCTGCCTCCTTTGGAAGTAGTTCTGATAATTCAGTGTCTTTCATTTGTTCCTTGAAAATGTATTAAATGCTTGTACTGAGGCTTCTGCGGGGTGGTTAGGAGAGGTTTCTGAATCATTTATTTCCAGTCTTGGAGTTAGGATCTGCGAAGTCAAAAGAACCAGAAGATTGTTGTCCTCAGGGAGCTTACCACACATCCTCTGAAGGTTCCTTCTTTAGCTCATCCATTTTAATAATCTCTTCCCACCCCTTTTGGAAATTAGTGAGATTGTATGTTAGGGCTTCTTTGAATCCACTTATGTAGCCAACTTTCTTTAACAACAACAAAGAAAGAATGAAAGCACTTACATTCTAGTGAATGTATATTTTTGAGTTTGCATTTTTGTTGTTTTGGACCATTTTGATGGTATGAATCTATATGGTTATATGGCAATAATTGTTGATTAAGGGAAATCAAGGGCTCTAGGACTGCTATAAATTAAGCTTTCACATAAGTGGGTCTATCTGGGATTCCAGTGTTGGGTGATAACTTGTGAATGTGACAGAGGACTCATTGCATGGCAGATTTCTTTTAGAATATTCTGTTGAAAATGAACCAAAGGGCCACTTTGTAAGGAACCTATATATCAGGCACTGCTTAAAAACCATTTCAGACTAAACTATCAAGACAGTGATGTGCTTGTACAAAAATGTATCGTTTACTTCAGTCTTTTTTTTTTTTTTTTTGCTTCAGTCTTAACACTAGATATTTCACCAACTTCCTTATTTAGGGAAAGTGATAATTTTATAATTTTATAAAATTTGTTGCCAATTTATTTTTAATTTTTGTGAATCTTGAGGAGATATTTTCCTTTTTTTGCAAGCTGGTAAAAATGTGTCCTTATTAACCTGGTACTCTTTGCTATTTAATACCACATGTACCATAGAGATGTACATTTTATAAAGTAACATGGACCTTAAAAAATTATATTGAAGAACTTGAGGTATTGATATTTTATGACTGAATGTGAGAATGTTAACATGTACAGGATACTCTAGTAGTGTGGATGAAATGTAGCACTGCTCAGCATTACTTTGTTAAATCTATGAATTTTCTGTGGTATAATACTGTGAATTTTTCAGAGTAATGACTGGAAGCATATTATCTTTTGTTTTTCCTGTTATGGAAAAGCCATATGTTACATGGAACTGTGGTCAGTAAGTTAATGTTTTGAACCAAGTCTTTATTTCTTAATTATTTCTAAAAGTTGTTTTCTTTCCACATGAGAACAGAATTTAGCATTTATTTCCTCAGGTTGATGAATTAATGCTCATTAAGAATACTTTCCTCAGGTTGATGAATTGATGCTCATTAAGAATACTTGTTAATAAAATGGTACCGTAATGTCAGATTGTAAATTATAGACTGCTCTTAACTGTTACCAGCACCACCACCACTACTAACCATCGTTTAAGTGCTTTATAATCTCTTTTAATCCTCTCAGTAACTCCCAAGAGGTAGGTACCATTAACCATTATTAGCACCATTTTATAGATAAGATATTGAGACACAGATTGATTTAGTACTTTGCCCAATGTCAGTCCTATGACTAGTTGTGATCCAACTAGGGTTTACAATTGCATTACCGAGCTGGTGCTCGTAAACAGTGTACTGTAACTACCTCTCCAAGGAAAATCATTAAACTTAATACAACTAAATTTCCAACAATTACACAAGTACTAATAATTAGGATATGGCCAGGCGTGGTGGCTCATGCCCTGTAATCCCAGCACTTTGGGAGGCTTGAGCACATTGCTTGAGCCCAGGAGTTCAAGACCAGCCAGGCAACATAGGGAGACCTTGTCTCTACTAAAAATACAAAAAAGAGCCAGGTGTGGTAGCACATCTCTGTAGTCCCTGCTACTTGGGAGGCTGAGGAGGGCAGATCTGCTTGAGCCTGAGAGATCAAGGCTGCCCTGAGCCATGATGGCGCCATTGCACTTCAGCCTGGGCAACAGAGTGAGACTATCTCAAAATAATAATAATAATAATAATAATAATTAGGATATTCATGCAACAGAACAACAAACATTTTGACTGGGGAAAACAGAATTCCAATTGTTGAACTCCCTTCCTGTGATTTCATTTTATTTCTGTTGAAGTAACATTATGAACTTCTATGCTTGTTTTTGGTGCATGGTTGCATATGCATCACATACTGATAAAACATCTCGTGAGCTGAGTTAACCATCCGTCTTACTGCCGTCCCACTCTGGGATATAGACGGTGCTCTGTGACTCCTGCTGTTCTTCATGTTGCATATTTCCATACCGGCTGATGGAGGCTTCATGGTGTGACTATAACCTTGGAGTCCGAGTTGGTTGATGCATACTTAGTTTGGAGCACCTTTAAGAGTGCCTTTGTTGTGCCTGTGTGTTTAATAGCTGTGTGAAAGCCAGCTGGCCACCGTGGAGTTTGGGGATTGGCACTTGCTATCCATTCATATCCAGCACCATTTCTTCTCATGAGAAAACATGGCCTTGTTGGTAGTGGTCCCTGCATTTCCTTTGGACTGTGGCATTTTCTGTCTCTGGTACTTCTGTGTTAATCCTGTGGGTGTTGCCATTCCTTTTACCTGCAGCCTCTCGACGTCATTCCAGGTCCACTAGTGCTCTCTCCACTGCTGAATCTGTTGGGCAGTCAGGTGAACAAGTGCTAACTGCATGACTTGGCTTCTTCATATGTTCTAGTTTCACACCCATGTTAACTTTTGTTTTCATCTGTGTCGGCTAGCACTTGGCATGTATGCACCTCATTTTTTCCCCAATGTGCTTTAATTTTTTTAAGTTATTGAATGTTTATAGTTCTGTTAATAGGCTGTAGATGCTTTATAGCCTGTTTGACAACATCGTTTCTCCAGTATTCATATTTACGTTAAAACAAAAAGCAGGGAAGTACTTCCCTTCCTGCCACCCTGACCCCTGGAAAATAACCAAAATCAGGTATTATTTAGGGTTCCTGTGGGCCAAGGGGCATGGATATCATCCAATAGATTCTCTCAAAAGTCTTTACTACAAATAAACGGTCACGTATTAATACTAGTTATTAATGTCAAGTTCACATTTTTTTGAGGTAGCACTTAGTTGCCAGTGTTGCAGATTATAGCATACATAATTTTATATGTATGAAAATAAATATATTATTCTCAAAGTGTTATGGAAAAACAAGATCAGGATTCAGGTAATCAAGTCAGGCCAAAGGTATCCTTTGCAGCCTGCAGACTCCAAACCTTCTCTCTCAGCTCTGTTTAGCAATACCCAGTGTCCACTGGTTAGCCCCACAGTTGCAAAATGTAAGCAAACAGTAATACATCAATTTGTTAGATTTAAT